ACTTGTGCAATAAGGGGAAAGAAAAGGTACTAGCTTAACAAAAAAAGCTTGGGATATTCTTGGTGATAAGTTTACTGCCAAAACTGGGAGTGTATGAAAAATCTCAATTTAAGAATAAATATGATTCCCTACGAAAGGAGTGGCAAACATGGGATAGGCTGCTTCGCGAGACAGGATTGGGATGGGATACTGAAAGGAGAGGAAAATAAGGGTAATTATTGAACCTTTTGATCTTACATTTTCTCTACCTGTTAATGTTTTGTGCATATTTACTGTTTTTTTGAATATTTTATGATATTATTGGTGTCTAATGTGCAGGAAGTTCCAAACTACGAAAAATTTAGAGAAAGAGGACTTCAATTTAGGAATCAATTAACTCAACTGTTCGAGAGTGTAGCTGCAACTGGACCACAAGCATGGGCACCTTCTTCCATGACACTTCCAAGTGAAGGAACACCGAATGAAGATTTGGAAGAATGGTCCAGAGATAGTGATGAAATTTTAGGTGCACCGACTGGTATAAGTGGGGAATTTAACATAGTGAACTTCAATGATAATAGTGGAGGTAGTGGAGGCAACACTGAATTGAGGCAGGATAACAGTGGTGGGGGTACAAGCAGAGGTAGGAGTCAACCTAGTAGCTCACTGGGGGTCAGAAGAAAGAGTGAAGTCAAGAAAAAACGCACATCTCCCTCTATGAAAATAGCGGATGCACTTAGCAAGATTGTTGAAACAAATATTTCTGAGGCCGAGCGTGGAAATGAGGTCATTTCACGACTGGAAGCTAGAAGGTTGGAAGAAGAAGCGCGTGTTTATGAGATTTCAATTAGGGGAGTCCTGTCTCACCTGAAAACAGTTCCTGAAGTTGTCAGTGATTCTGATTTCTTTAGACGGTGCACACAACTCCTTATGGAATGACTGGAGGCACGAGAAATGTATGCAGCTCTGAAGGATTAGAAGGAACAACTTCTACCTATTTTGGAGTTTTACACTAGGGATTTATGACTTGTTTATTATATTAGACAGTTCCATATGTGTATCGTTTTATGTGACTAGTGGGTTGTTATATGAATCAAACAACTCTGTAACTTTTATAAATGTTTCGTAATTTCTACGTAAGAATTCTAAACTTTATGTGTATATGCACAGGATAAAACGAATATGGATGCTGAAATTAAATGTGTGGAAGAGCATGCTAAGGGACAAAAAAAAAAGAGTTAACAAAGTTGCAGCATTGGTCGGTGCATACGCTACTTTGAACTTGTGTAAAGAGCCTCGGCATACAAGTGCTTATACAGGCTGCTTATGGGTAAGGGATGTTTTAGATGGCAACTCCAGTCGTTGTTATAACATGTTTAGGATGGAACGGGGTGTGTTCTTAAGCCTGGTGGAACAATTGCAACAACATGGTCTAAAAGAAACTAAAAATATAGGGATACATGAATCAGTTGCAATGTTTTTACATATCGTTGGCCATGCACTTAGTAGCAGAATGCAACAAGAAAGATTTCAACATTCAGGGGAGACAATTAGCAGACATTTTCATAATGTCCTAATGGTAAATGCTGGCCTTTTTTTAAACATGCTATTGGAGCAATTGATGGCACACACGTTTCCTGCGTTGTTAGTGCAACAGATCAAACTAAATTTATCTCTAGAAAAGGAACAGTGTCACAAAATGTTATGGCGGTTTGTGATTGGGACATGTGTTTTACTTTTGTCTTGGCCGGATGGGAAGGTAGTGCACATGATACTCGGATATTTGATCATGCCCTCACAACTCCCTCAATGAACTTTTCCCATCCACCTGAAGATATTTTTTTATTTCCTACATTTTATTTATATTTAGCTTAGCAATAGAAACATAATTTACAATAATTTCATTTTTTATATAGGAAAATATTATTTGGTGGATGCTGGATACCCAACACCAAATAGATATCTCGGCCCATACAGACGGGAGCGTTACCATCTGCCTAATTTTCGAAGGACATATGGGTTTGAAAATGACAATGAGGTCTTTAATTATTTCCATTCAAGTTTAAGGAGTACAATTGAAAGAACTTTCGGAGTTTGGAAAAAAAAAGTTCACAATCTTACGAAACATGCCATCCTATGATTATGAAACACAAGTTAAAATCGTTTGTGCAACGATGGCTATACATAATTTTATTAGAACGACATCTATTACTGATCCTGGATTCGTTCAGTTGAAAGAAGAAGGTACTTATGCAGAAGAAAATGATGATGGGGTTGGATTTTCACGTATACATTCATCAATTTAATCTTCATCTTACATGGCTCAGGTTCGTGACAGCATAAGAAACGAACTTGTTAATTCAATACAAAGATAGTAGTCATGTCTTATTTATTTCCTTTTATCATAGATTGTAATATGTAGTTAAAAACAAAACTTATTACAAATGCTTTGTATCGATGCATCATCTTAATTATTATGACACTTCTTTATTATATTTCTTTTATTAATATTATACCTTATATTCTCAAGCTAATTATTACTTACTTTAATAATTAATAATTAATAAATTGTTTTAAGACGTGTTTATTCTATTTTATCAAACAATATCATCCCATTTTATGTTTATAATCTTCAAGAAAAATAAATGATTTTCTGTTTGCAACAAAATAATTCATCTTCTCTAAAAATATTTTTACTCTTATATTTTATGAATATATATATGTGGTGACAATTAATTAATTAATTGTATTAAACATCAAAGGTTATTATACATGTAGTATGTTATTACAAAAAGTAGTTGTGAAAAAATGTTATGGGATTTCACGTTTAAAATCTTTAAAGAAAATTAATATTTTTTTGTTAGCAAAAAAAATTTTATTTTTCTATAAACATATTTAATATTATGTTTTATAAATATATATACACATTTTAATTATGTATTAATTATATTATCTTATATATTATTAATTATGTTAGTAAAAAATTTTTCATTAACAATTTTATTTCTTCAAATCAAAATGTATTATAAAATCTATCATTTATATAATTATCATATTAACGTATACTCTTTTTGGTAATTTTGACATGTAAAAAGTGCTTCTGGTAATAACTATCTAAACACTCTCACTTCTCAGAATTACTTTTTCTCAGAATCTATTCTCCACAGAATCTATTCTTCAAAATCACTTTCCAAACCACGGTTTGGTTTCATCCAAACACACCATAGGTGAAAACCAACCATTTTTTAAAAATAATTTTACAATAGACAAAGTAAATATGTGAGAAGAGTTTTGTCTTGATTTGTGTAAAAACACTTTTTAAAAATGCTTCTTAATTAAACCAAATACCCCCTTAGTATAAAACCTAAATTTATAATTATATGTCAATGTTTTGTTCATTTTGTGGATTAATATATTTTTTATTTAAATATTATTCTTACTACTGCATAAAGAGTTTTTATGACGATTAAAATGAACTTTTAACTACAGAATCATATATTTATATATATTAAATTATATTATTTTGATTAAGATTAATTAAAGTACTGTTTTCACCAGTTCAATCATAGCTCCGATTTACGCTGCCTAGGTCTTCATTTTTCTGCAGCCCGCCCAACTTCCTGGAAATTCACCTAAACTACTTCAGGTTCAAAGAAATTGCCTGGAAGCTTCTTTCCTCCTCACACGTCGATGCAAAAGTTTCTTTAGCTTCTTTCCTCCTCACACGTCGATGCAAAAGTTTCTTTCTCATCTTCTCTTTTGTCTTTTCGTTTTCGGGCTAATAATAGTGCAATCGAGTCAACAAAGCTTTTAAAGTTGTCATCCACTCATTCACGCCCATGTGAGAAAAGTTACCTTACTTTTTAGATTCTGAACTTTCATCATATCTTTTTTTTTTTTTATCAAAGAAATTACTATCATTAAACACAAACAACCATACAAAAACTAGTTCTAGACATAAAAGAAAAGAAAACAACGATTACAGTAATAAACCAACAGAGCAAAAAAAGAAAATAATCCATTTTCTAAAAAAACCATAATAACCACCGACCGTTTGGCCGAGTGGTATGCATAAATGTGTGTGGAGTGTGTGCGTACAGGTTCGATTCCGTCTCTTGTAACTGAAAAAATAGAAAAACCATAATAATGATCCCATATCAGCAGCCTCTGCAGATCTAGAGGCGGTCTTAGGAAGTGTTTGGAAATGATCCCTAATAAAGGACATGATCCCTAATAAAGTTTTATTAGTGCTCAATCAGCTACCAGATTTGCTTTCTTGAGAATCCGTAGAGAAGAGTGATTTCAAAAAAAAATTTTAAGACAAGGATGTTTTAAAAAAAAAAAAAAGATACTACCTCCAGTTTTAATTACAAGATATCGTTTATAGTCTATAAATAAAATCTTATAATTAAGATCAGAGGTAATATTTTAAACGTCCTCTAAAATTATAAGACGTAAATCAAATAACAACATTCGTGGGAGTTCTGACCAGTTCAAAATAATTAAGAGTCGTGATGGCTTTTCATTAATGGCATGATTATGGATTAATATAGTGAGTTATTTTCTTCTGCCACCCTTTTTTATTTTCTTCTGCCACTTTTTTTTTTGGTACAATTCTGTAAGAGGAATTCTTAGGTACTCTGAGAGTACCAACTCACCTGTACACTGACCAATGAAAACATTTCATTTGGATAGAATTTAAGCAAACGCGGCAGCTTACCTGTGAATGTTTGGATTTATAATTTTTTAACAATTTTTTTAAAAAAAGCTGCCTTTTTTTCAAAATTTTCCTACCCTCTTTTCGATGCATCTCTCCCTTGCCTATTTTCTTTTCTCTCTCTTGTCCTCAACATCTCAGCTTTTCCCGTTTCCCTTCAGATCTATTTCCCGCCCTCCCCCCTCTATCCCTTCCAGTCTTCCACCATTAAAGCAAGGTCAGAGAAGTTTTAACAGTATTAGAGGAGCATTTATCGTAACAAAAAGTGCTCAAATTCAACCAAGCCGCCTCCGTTGTGGCTGGGAATGCCGGAATAGTACCTCACACACTTTAACCATCATCTTCTTCCTCAAACCCATCTTCTTTCTTTTCTCTTTTCTGACACACCATGTATCTTCTATATGCTTATGTGTTTTTGGTTGTGAACGCTCATTCATTACACTATTAAGTGGATTTCCTCTTTTCAGTGTGACTGTTTGCAAACCGATGAATATTGCAGGAGGCTAGACAAAAGCCAATGGTCTCAGGCCTTGCGTTAATGGCGGAAAGAATAGAGGGGGATAGGAAGCCGGAAGGAGAGAGAATAGATTTGAAGGGAAGATGGAAGATGCTGAGGTGCTGAGGACAAGACGGAGAAAAGAAAATGGGTCAGGGAGAGATGCATCGAAAAGAGAGTTGAAGAATTTTTTAAAAAAAAGACAGCTTTTTAAAAAAAATTATTAAAATATTATAAGTCTGGACGTTCACACGTAAGCTGCTACGTAAGTTTGAATTTATCCAAATGGAATGTTTTTATTCGTCAGTGTACAGGTGAGCTGGTACTCTCAGAGTACCTAAGAATTCCTCCTTATTTGTATAGTATAGTTATATTTCATATATAAATAATATGGATATAAATATTAATAAAAAGTTACTGAACAAATTGTGACGAATGTTATTCCAAAAACCCATTTAGATTAGATCAAATAATTTATTTGAAAGATTAAGTATGATAGAAAAGGAGAAATCTTAAAATTCTAAAATCACTATCATAGTTAAAAGGAATAAACTTATGTCACAAGCAATATCAATTATTAACTTGGGTCTTGGACTTTCAAAGTCCAGAAGTACCATTCAACCCTTAACCCAAACAAAACTTATACTTTCAAAAGAGTGCCACGTGTAAAGTCTTAGAGGCCTCTGGCCTTATAATCGCCCTCTCATCAATTAGCAGTAATCAAATGTATTAGTTTATAACATCAGAGTAGATGAGTCCTATGTGTTAATATATAATAAATCAGCACAAAAAACAAAAGAATGGAGGCTATATAAGTTATAACAGTACACTAAGCCTCCGAGACATTCCTTGATAAATCATCACGTGAACTATCACATAGTAGCAACCACAGGATGAGACAAACGCCTCATTAACCAGCTTTCCAGCTCATCATACATACTAAAATGTGCTCGTGAGGTGTCAAGTGGGACAATTATTAAATCTCAAGAAATATAGATATATCAATGAAAATAGAAAATATGTGTATTTAGAAAATCTCAATCATCTAAACCCTCATTACGGGAGCTAACACACAAGCCACATAAGTCTATTCCTCACTATAGGGGATCAATTAGATATATAAGTTTATCCCACATTTTGGGGGACGAATAAAAAGTCACAAAGGTATATCCCTTACTATAGGCTTATCCCACACTTTGAGGGATGAATAAGACGCCACAAAAGTCTATTCCTTACTCTAAGGACGAATGAAGCCAACCAATGTGCACCAATGGTGGCCTTGTCACGTGGTACGATGGGACTCAATCTAAAATCCAAATAACAACCAATCATTCACAATATAATGAAAAATGTCTCAATTTTTTCTCGGTATAATCCATAAGATATAAATCATATATTTTTTCAAACTTCTCAATCACAATTGCAAAAATCCCACAAGATAATTTTCATAACTCAAAAGGTGTAACATATATACTCAAGTTCAAAATAACAAATCATTATCCTAAAATAGCAAAATACTCACAAACAACATATTAGCACATATAACAAGTAGAAAGTGGTTACCTCTTGTCAAAACAATAGAAAAGATTACCACAAGATCAATCACTTGCTCAACCAATAATTAATCTACATAATTAATATAACCATATATTAATATAAGCTAATTAACTAATTAATTAAGCTTATATATTAGTTAAATTTCTAATTTAATTTAATTTTCATTATAAATTTTCACAACTCTCATAACCCAAAATTAAGTACTTTAGAACTAACTTATAATTTTCTAACAAGTCAAATTATTTATTTACATCCTCCGGATTATTCACTTTAATAAAAAGAATTTTTCAAAATTTCCAAATATGAAATTATTATATTTTAAATTCTAAAAATCCCATTTGAAATTTAAACCTCAAAATCAAACCATCAAAAATTCAATAGTACCTCAAATATTTATAAATAAATAACTTGATCAAAATTTTAATAGTATAACTAACATATATATATTTTCATAAATAATAAACTTTTCAGCTCAAATAATTATTTTAAAATCTCCAATCACCCAACAAATAAAACTAAATTGATTAAAATCTTAATAATATGCCAAACAACCCAAATAAATTATTTAACTTAATTTTAATCGATATAAATATGATATCTCTCATAAATAATAGATTTTTCAACTAAAAATTAACTTTTTAAATAATAAAACCAACAAATAAGTAAATTTAAACCGATAGAAATGATCTATTATAGCATATCTACAATACTATGGTTAACACTAATCAAAACTAAATACTTGCTTCAAACTTTATACCAAAAATTTTTTTTAAGCAACATAAAATTACTATTATTAGGTAGATTTGATTGAGAGAACAACTTTCATGAAGGAAGTTTTGTAATCAAAAGTAGTTTTACTTATCAAAATGACCTGTAGGGATAGAGAAAGAAGGGATAGAGAGAGCGACGTTGCAGGCAAATGAATGAGAAGAGAAGGAAAAAGACAAGGACGGTAAAAAAAAAGAAAAAAGGGCTCAGGGTAAACTGAAGTTAAAGACCTTATTTGAAACGAAGAAAATAACAATTTGAAGAACCTCCTTTTTTTATCTAATTTTCAAATATTTAAACCCTTGGAATAAAAAAATTAAGATGTTACACAAATGGATAAATAACTTAATAAAATGAAGTGGACAATTTATAATTCGTGAGCTTTTTTAATTGGAATTTTTTAGTAGGTAAACTTGTGGTTTTACATACTTAAGTAGATCAAATCAAAGCAATTTAGAACTCTAGTTACTTCAAGTTAGTCTTAAAAATTCTATGAATGTTGTTATTTGGTTCTTATTTTAAAGTTATAATTTTAGAGAACATGATGATTGGAATCTAAGAGTTTCGTGAGGTTTTTTAATTAGAAATTTTTACGAGGTAAACTCGTGGTTTTACAAACTTAAGTAGATCAAATCAAAGCAATTTAGAACTCTAGTTATTTCAAGTTGGTCTTAAAAATTCTATGAATGTTGTTATTTGGTTCTCATTTTAAAGTTATAATTTTAGAGAACATGATGATTGGAATCTAAAAGTTAAAGTAATTTTTATAGAATGAATGAATGGCAAGTAATTTTTATCAAATGGATGAATGACAAATAATCTTCATGGTAAGAATGAATGACAACCTTTAATCATTAAGCTTAGAATAAAGAGTGGATGAGTGTTTCCTAGGAAAGATCATTCAATATATGATTCTTTTTTTTTTCTAGACATATGATCTAGTTAACTAATTTTGAAAAATTAAAAAATTGTTTAAGTTGGCTGTTTTTCATTATTTGGAATTTTGGAGGGGACAGAGGAAAATGAGTGAGTTTTTGGATGGTTGGAAAAATTGGAAGAAAAAGAAAGAAGACAGTTTTTCTTTCCTTCCCCTCCTCTAAAATTGAGAATTTTTGCACAAAAGGTACAATTTTTTGAATTAAATGGACAGATATTAACCACCTGAGGTTACAAATGAAATTTATAAGTGGAACTGAAGTCGGATCCTTCTAGTGATAGGGAAATATTCATGTTGCTATGCTTCAAGAACTAGACCTTTTGTCAAGGTCAAACAAAAAAAAAAAGAGCCAGACCTTTTGGAAGAGGGGTATGATTTGGACATAAATGGAACCAAAAAAACTTGCATTTTCTTTGTTCTTTTTCCTAAATATTTCTGAAGTCCAGAATTGCAGCTCACTGAAATTAATCCCTCACGGCATCACCTCCCCCTATTGACCTGATTACGTCATGATATTATAATAATGAGTATGTGCATTTGTAGAATTGAATGAAAGAATTACAGTAGCCAGCAAAAGTTCCTAGGCAAGGGTTCGAGTTCAACGTTCAAAAGTAAGTGTTCCTCTTTTTCTTGCCATGGTCCCCTGCCAAAAGACTTGCGCATTGACGCGGAAAGAGGAAAGAAATTTCACACATAATTTCTAACTCAGACATAAAGTTAGTTTCAATGGAATTCCAAGGAAATTACGCAGACATCAGAAAGTGTGATTTCCTCTACTTAAAATATGACACATTTTTTTACTAACCCAATAGCATGAAACATCCCCCATAAATAAGAGGTTGCAAGTTCAATCGCATGTTTGGATCACCATTTCAACATGAAAAAGTGGATTGGAAAGTGCAAAACGTGAGTTGGTATGTGGTTAGAGATAGAGCCTTGTTTGGATCTTTTTTTTTCCCAACTGGCTTCTTAAAAAAAAAAAAAAGAAGCTTGGTACAGTAAAAGTCAATTTTTCCTAGCTTTTGCAGTTTACCAATGTTACCAACCATGGAGACAGAAGATAAAATGAAGATGAGAAGATATGGGTATTTAAATGGGTCATATCTTGACCCATTAATTTGATTTTTTTAAAGAAAAAAATTAACTAATAAAATTTAATTAATTTACTTTATTATTATTTTTAAATCTATCAAATTATGTACATATGATATATTACATTTGCTCCCTAATATAAAGCCATAATAGATTAATTTGAACAGATTACAAAAACTAAATAAATTATTTAATTATATTACAAGTTTCATGATCTTTCTAAAATACTTATGCATCTCATTAGATTACATATTAATTTATAAGTCAAGCCAAATAATTTGAGAAAAAAGTAATAAATATAAATACTTTACAGTAATTTATTTAACTTTCTTAATTTTTTTTCAAATTAGTTAATTGAATCTTATATAAAAACTCATACCTTTTCATTCATTTTACATCTAAACTTACTTTTTTATTATTTAGCTAAATAAGTTTTAACTTTTCAAACTGATTTTTTTTAGAAATGTCAATTTAAGCACAAATCATATTATACTGACTTTTATTCTAACTGACTTTTGCAAAAGTCAGACAAGATAAAAGTCATTTTTGTCACCTCTAATTCAATTACAAATCATATTACGCCAACTGACTTTTATTTTAATTGACTTTTGCAAAAGTTAGATGAGATAAAAGTCGGTTTTGTCACCGCTAATCAAAACACGCCATTTATAGTTTCAAAGCTTCAAATTATTTGTGAATATCTAAACAAACGACTGAATTTCAAGGAACCAAATGGCGCAATTTGCTGTGTTCAGCAACGATCATTGAAAATTGGAGATATATTTAAGTTGGACTGGATTGAGGCATTGAGCCATTCGGAATTGGTTTTTTGGTTGGAGTTAGGGCGAGTTTAAGGCAATTGGGGGAGTTCACAGCAACGGGATAGGTCAGACTCATCCTCAAAACAATTTTCATTTTGTTCCCTTTATGGCCTCTGCGAATTCATCATTTTCCCTATGCAACTGTAACTTTGACCTCAATCTATAAGCAGTTTAGAAAAAAGCATCTTCATACAAATTAAGACAATTTTTTTTCCGAATTTCTTTAGTACACTGTAAAATCACTTCTAAAAAACTAATCCAAACATCCCTTAAAAGATGAGGAGGTGTGAAAATGGAAAAAGAGAAATGATATTGCAATTAAAAAAAGAGAGAAGGAGAAGGAGACTAAGAGAGTGTTTGGATTAAGTTTTTAGAAGTGATTTTATGGTATTTAAAATTAAATATGTAAAAAAAAATTTTATCTCGATTTACGTGAATTTTTTTTTTTTTTTTTTAAAGTGTTCTTTAGGTTTTCCAAACTCTCCCTAGGAAAGAAGAAAGAGAGGAAAGAGGGAATTTTGAATTGAAGAAAGATAAAAAGCGGGGTGTCGACGGGAGTGTATTTAGTAAAATGTGATTAAACTTTAAAATGATATAAAAAGTGCGGGAAAAGTGGGAAATCAATAAAAATTTAGAATATATTAATATTGGTAATATAAGAAATATTACAGTTTTACATTTATAAGATATTTTAATAAATTTTGTTGTAATATTTTTATACGTGATTTTAATAATTGTTAGATCACGTTATAAAGTTATTTAGTAAATTATTTTCCTCAAGTTGGCTGTATGATGGATGAATTCTTGGAACACCTGTTCATATCTCGCCCATTGGCTAGAACAGTCTGATTTGGTGCCATATCCCTTCAAATTGACTCATTCTCATTTCACAATTTCAGAGATTGGCTTAAGCATATTCTAGTAAAGCTCTACAATAATCAGAATCCTCTTGTAGCCAAGAGTATTATTGTTCTGTTTAACACTATCTGATATAAAAGGAATCTCATCCTTCATTAGGGTGGTTTTGCTGAACCTTCCCAGGTCATTCAGGAGATCAATTCTCAACTAAATTTCATAGACACGGCCTTCTTTTGCCTAGGCAATTCTCCTCGGCCAGCAGAGAACATTAGGGCTGAAATTAGAGAAATCTCCACCTCTAGTTTCCAACAATGGGACATCAGTCTACTTAAATTGAAAAAGGAAGTCTGCAGGCGCTCACTGTTCGGGCATTCTCTTATATAACCAAAAGGTGTGTTCCATAATACGATGGAGGCAAAAAAAAAGTATGAGACGATCACTCATTCTATCCAAAATACCCCTGGCAAATGATAATAAGATTATTATCTTGGTCCAGACAGCTTAATGGGGCAGCTTTCAGAGCTCAGAACCTGGTGCGCTGGAAAGCAATTCATCAATAGTCAGAACTTGAGCCCTTTGATCGCTGGAGTAGTGGCGCAAGACATTATAAGGATTGTCTCTCTTTTAAATTGGTTAATTGAGAATACATTTCTTTTTCTTCTTTTCGAAAGTTAGATCTTTATTTTCTTCTCTTTCTACTAGTTGTAATTAACAATGTAATTATTAGTAATGGCATTTTGTCCTTCTTCCGGAAAAAAAAAAAAAGGGAAATTGAGGATGCATGCTAGCATGTGTTGGAATAAGAGAAAGGGGATTATTTTGTCCTTGAGCAAATGAGAGAAGAAAACACGACTTGCAAGTCCTCGCTAACCACAAATAGATAAATATCCGATGTTGGCCTCCAGAGACAAGGGCGCTTTGATTATTAAAAATTATAGCATCTCTCTAAAATAGTTAGATTATACTATTTAGATCCTATTTATAAGTCACTTCTAATATATTTACATAGATCAATACAAATTTTAAAATTTATTAACTCGCATATAAAATCTAATAACTTTTTAATTTTATTCTATTTAATATAAGACACCACATGAGAGTAACAAAGTCAACATTTTTATTTAAAAAAGGGTAAAATTATACATTTATATAAAAATTTTCTCTCTTTGCCATATAAATAAGACCAACATTTTTATTTTCTTTTTGACCTATAAATAGGACCTGAGGAAATATATACGTAAGACAAATTAGTTTTTTTAAAAAAATAATATAAATATTTTAAAATAATTTAGTGATTTTCTTAGAATTTTTAGATTAATCAATCGCGCCTCATACAAGAGGAAAGAACAAAGTAGTGGCAGTAAGTTCGATTATCAGTTTAGATACCATGTTTTCGCATAGCGAAGGGAGTAGGCCCTTCTGCCTTGGCCATGGGCTTCAGCCGAAACACATTGGCTGCTGTTTTTGGAGAAATGGATGAACGGAGAAAATTGCAATCTCACGGATGGCCAATTAGGTGTGTGTTTTTTTTTTTCCCAACAAAAACTCTGACATAAACAAAACAAACTCATTTTACATATTTATTTTATATATCATAAAATTATTTTTAAAATTTATTTACTCTGTATATTATAAAATTATGATTAAAAAATACAGTTTAGTTTCGTTCAGACACTTTTTGGTTATTAAACTATGTGTAGTCTTCGGTCTGTTGGATCAGTACTTTCAATAATTGCCAATAAACAAATGATACTGTGGCTTTCATAAAAAACGTGCGCGACTACCCAACTCGAATTAATATCTAAATGGTGGGTCAGTCCAATTTTAGCTGAGTAGCAGCATCACCAAATTCTTCGGTCTCAACTTCCAGGTAAGCACCTAATCCTTTGCATTAAATATTTTTTTATTGCCCTGTGTTTTTTTTTTTTGGGTTGATATAATCTTTTCATCGTTCAGATTTGTTTTTATTTTGACGTTAATCCTTCAAATTTCAAAACATAAATTTGTTCTTATTTTGACGCTAATCTTTCAAATTTCAAAACATAAATTTTGGTGCCTCAAGGAGTAAAATAATTTAAATTTTGTTAAATTATAGAAACTAATATTTTAAATGAAAACAAACTTAAAAGACCAAATCAAAATAAAGGCAAAAAGAACAAAAATTGTATTGATCTCTTCTTTTTTTAAAAAAAGTATCTTCCATTTAATTAATTTTGGAAAGATTGTATTGCTTCAAATAATGTGTGCAGAAATAAGTTTCACACAAGAAGAAGTTATTTCAGGAAATTTTACAAAATTTTTCACTTCAAGGGATTCACTGTAACTGTGTTGCT